TCTGTGGGGCCAGGAGCCTCTGCCCTGCTCCAGAGCCTTCTACCTGGGACCTGAGTTCATGAACCTTTGTCTATTTACACACCTGAGTGTGAAAACTAACTCTAGCTGCTCCAGGGTGACATGTCCACCTCCAGAACCTTGTGCTGGGGACCTTGTCCATGTCCCTTCATGTGTTTGCACACCTGAGTGTGCAGGGGGATTCTGGCTGCTCCAGGGTGGCATTTTCACCTCCAGATCCTTCTACCTGGGACCTGAGTTCATGTCCCTTTGTGTGTTTGCACACCTGAGTGTGAAAACTGACTGTGGCTGCTCCAGAGTGACACTTTCACCTCCAGATCCTTGTACTTGAGATCTGTGCCCATGTCCCATTGCGTATTTTCACACCTGAGTGGGCAGGATAACTCTGGCTGCTCCAGGGTGGCATTTCCACCTCCGGATCTTCTACCTTTGACCTGAGTTCATGAACCTTTGTGCTTATTTACACACCTGAGCATGAAAACTCACTGTGGCTCCTCCAAGGTGGCATTTTCACCTCCAGATCCTTCTACCTGGGACCTGTGTCCAGGTCTCTGTGTTTATTCACACACCTGAGTGTGAAAACAAACTGGCTGCTCCAGGGTGGCATTTCCACCTCCAGACCCTTCTGCTTGGGACCTGTGTCTATGTCCCTTTGTGTATTGTCACACCTGAGTGTGCAAACCAGCTCTGCCCTGCTTTAGAGTAACATTTTTACCTCTAGAACTTTCTGTTTGGGAGTTGTGTCCACGTCCCTGTGGGCATTGACACACCTGAGTGTGCAAACTCTGGCTGCTCCAGGGTGGCATTTTCACCTCCAGATCCTTCCACCTGGGGTCTGTGCCCGTGTCCCTGTGCCTATTTACACATCTGAGCATGAAAAGCCACTCTGTCTGCTCCAGGGTGACATTTTCACCTCCAGATCCTTCTGTTTGGGAGTTCTGTCCATGTCCCTTTGTGTATTTACACACCTGAGTGTGCAAACCACACTGCAGGGTGGCATTTCCACCTCCAGATCCTTGTACTTGGCACTTGTGTTCATATCCCTGTGTTTATTTACACACCTGAGTGTGAAAACTGGTTCTGGCTGCTCCAGGGTGATATTTTCACCTCCAGACCCTTCTTTTTGGGCATTCTGTCCATGTCCCTGTGTGTATTTACACACCTGAGTGTGCAAACTGACCCTGGCTGCTGCAGAGTCCCACATCCCAGGGTTAAGTGCAGTGTAAATTCACTGAGGGTTTAAGGATTTACTGAT